GAAGGAAAACATCGAGAGGAAACCGCCTTGCCTTAGACCCAAAACGTCAACGGCGTGTGTCAGAATATGCATTCTGTCTTGATGATGATGAAATTTACCGCTGACATCATGGCATCCCGATACACTAAAACCAAAAAGTGTATAGATTTTATAGTACAAATAGATACAAATAAAATTACAAATTCTATCTGAAATTATGAAAACAGAATCTATTTAAGAATGTGTTACCAGGTTTCCCAGAAGTAACCCCATGTAAGGCCTAAACCTATACATGCTGCCTCCAAACCACTCTATACTCAGCGTGTCTCAGTGCATTAGGAATGTTGAGACCCATAATTGTCTTTACCTGGTCAGACCATCGACCTTGACTTCTTCTGCCATCACTCCTCCTAAACCTATAACCATGACCCAATTTAGCAATTTATTACCAAAAAAATCTAGTAAATTTTGTTTTTAGGTTTCAAAATACATACAAATTAAAAGTAGTACGTCTTAAAAAAGTATACAAAACAACGCCATCACGACCACCACGAAACCAATATCATTCATAGTGGTTATCATCTGTTGAATCCCTAAACGTATCAAATAAAGTCCTGAAGGAGGTCCCTAAACGAGCAATGAAAACATGCTATACATTGCTTAGTTGACTCAGAGCTAAGTAAACCTGAGTTTGCGCGTAAATTTAGCTGTATACGTTGTATAGTATGAGTTATCATTAGTCGTTGGGGTCGCGACCCCGACCTCATTGGGCGACCTTCGCCACGCCCACCGCCCTCTGAAGTTACAGGTTTTCAGTTGGCTTTATAAGTTTTTCATATGAAATGCATGCACAGACTACAAGCTGTATGTAGAAGTATCTGTTATCACTATAATACACTAGCGACTTCGGATTCGCGCGGGCATCAGTGACCCGTAAACCATGAATATATACATACCTTCCTCTTCCTTGTGTTCCTACTTTAAGTTGAGTCCTTCAAATATGTGAAAACCGCAATCAATTCCGTTCAGTCGTTTTTGAGTTTATAGCGAACAGACGTATAGGCGCGGCGGATCGCGCTTTCGTTGATCCAAGGATCCCCTACAATCTCTTAAACTTAATAACATTAGTATAGATATATCTATCAAGAGTTCTTGTTGCGTACCTAAATGAAATGATTGCAACAATACAATAGAAATTAAAAAAATTCTACTACTATGACTACACCTCTGTCTACAGAGGTGTTAAAACACCTATAGTTCACTTATAGCCGCTTAGATCCTCGGCAAAATAAAGTATTTCCGTTTACATAACACAAATAAGGCTGGAATGCTGTCTTCTTTTTAATCCTGCACTCTTTTCTGAGTGAACCTGGTCGCATCACTATAGAATACTTTTCTTACATATTAAAAAGATTTAAGCAATAGATTGAATGGCATATTGTTTTTTTAAACTTGGCTTTCGTTTTGAATTAAAAAATTCAAAGTTTGTAATTTTCTAAAAGCCCCAAAGGCGTAATTTATCCGTCGAAATATATTTGTGTTCTTTGTTTTACTTAACTATAAATCAAACACAAATTGTGGACTGTTTCAACCCCAACTGGCTTCCGCCAAGTAATTGTCATTAAACAAAAGGCGCACTCGGCGTGACCAGCAGTTGGTGACTTCTCCACACCTGCGACGAATGAATGTTCTTGTCATATCAGTGCTGGTATTGCACAATCATTTGTGTCAATCAAACCGCCTTATTCAGCGTTAATATTTGAAGCGGAAACACCGAAGTCTTTTTGTATATAGGAGTTATGACCACAATTTTCAACCGCTTGCTTCATACGTGCAATGAGATTAATTTCATTCATAATTAATTTAAATTGTATTAGTACAAATGAAAATTCATTTTTTATGAAGTAATGTAAGATTATTAAAATTTATACTTACATATTTATTAAAGTTTAGTGAAAACATAAAAAAAATATTACTGTTCTCCATCTGTTTGGCCACGAATCTATGGATTTACGCGCTGTTTCCAAGAGAAATTTCGCCACTGCTTCCTCCAGAGACTTTTTAAGAGACTCAATGTCGCCGTGTCGTTTTGAGCCATGTCCTCTAAAACTGACTATAATTTCGTGCTATAAAACTAGACTTCGACTATAAAAGTCTAAAAGTCTGGGCTAGTATAGAATCTAGCCCTTCCTTGAGTTATAGACTGCTATCGCGTTTATTACTTTTATTTAAGTTAAGTGCGTATTTTTTTCGACATCTTCAACATTAATATAAGTTTCTTAGTTATTATTTAATATCTTAGCCCTTCTGGCGAATGTTTTTTTATACAAAACTAAAAAGATTGGCCATAATCCCGCCTGATGTTAAGTAAGATGCGGCCTATTGGAGTGCCCTCCAGATGCCTATTTAACCGCCGCTTATTAAAGTGTAAGTACTACCAACATCTTTATACTATCAATATTGCTATCACGGTTTGCAAACCAATACTAAAACTACACTTTGTATGATAAGAGTATTACATGAGATATAACTTCAAAACTTCTCGTATCTTTATTCAGAATCGATAATAATTTAGAATCACAGTAGCGAAGTATCGCATTGCATCGCGTGAGTTTACATGAGAGCTACCTGTAATTGATACCCGCTCGTTAATTCGATGTTAAATCGACTCGATGTAATCGTATCGATCTGATGACCGCTAATGCCCTTGCTGATTTACACGATTTTTAGTGTATCATATTTCTGTTTTGACGAAACCCGTCTATTTCGCGCATACAAAAAATTTAAAGCTGCTAAAGTCTTGGCGTCAGATTGATCATTATTTTTAGGCAGCCTTCTTCCATGACGTTGTCTCGGCCTATAAGTATTGATTGCACACATAGGTAATAGACCGCTCTTAGGTATTGATTAGATGTTAACAGTAATGTAAAAACATGAACAATCAATGACCAGACAATATTGATTCTAGCCATTAAGCTCATAATAGGTTATATTATATTAATCGTATTCCCTTTTGGAAATTACAGCATTGCTGAAAAAAAAATGGTGCGTGTACTTATGTACGCGCGTAAGAAGTTATACTTCTTTGGCTTTCTTTATTTTTTTTAAATATTAAATAATTAATAATAAATATTTAGCGTTAATAATTTAACAATATTTAATATTTAGTATATTATTCAATTATTAATTAATATTAATAATAATAATAATTATTTATTATTTTATTATATTATTAATTCAATTTAATAACTAGGTATGTTTCATAACCTTTTAACTAAGTAATAATAGGTCTTTGTGAAAAAGCATTGCTAAATTTCTTTGAAAAAAATAATTAAAACTCCTTTATTTGTTTAAAAGGTCACTATGGTCTACTACAAATGTCATTATGGTCATTCAAAATTCTTGGCATAGCTGCTAACGTCACGCATATTCTATTTCTTTTTACTTGTAGATTGTCTTATTCCCATCTCGCTCGGCGCCCATACTGATAATTTTGTGTCACGGTGCGCGCGCATCGTAAAATTTCAATCTCATAAATTTTTCATAACGCGCCTAAAGAAGTATAACTTCAAAAACTAACGATTATTTCCTTTAAGCAATGGTCCTTTATTTTCTATATTCCATTTTTAAATAGTTTCTTGATGTTCGTAATTTAAATATACGAGATTTGAGAAAATTTAAGGAGATTGAAACAAAATACTTCAGAAAGACATTCTTTAATATCTCAGTATGTCTTTACAACTCCAGAGACTCACACATACATTACAATGACTGTACATTTATTATTGCATAAATTACATTGCTTTTCATTTATTTTAGTTTGGCAGGATAGATATAGAATATTTAAATAATAGAAGACCAAAGGTTTTTACATTTTTGAATTAACTATTTAATGTAGAATTTGGTACATACTGGAAACAATTTATTTTAGTCAAATGCAAAGTTAAAGAATGTGTTTGATATTCAAAATTCGAACTAAAAATCTGATAAACACGCAATTTTAATACACATTTTTGTCTCAGATGTAAGGACAGTATTTTTAGTATATGTGCGCGTTTCTATTGTTTATTATCAATCAAACGTACAAAAATATAAAATAATATTAAATTTGAAATGGTTTACGTTGTAGTAAATTTTTAGTAAACTCCGATGATATCTTCAAACTTCAGACTTACACTAAATTACGAAAAATTATTATTTCAATTTAAAATAAAATTGAAAGTCGTACTTATCTGAGAATCTCGTTACCATGGTTACGATGCTTCGTCCGTGAAAAAGAATAGTAACCATGGTAACCAATACGGTATGTTTGAGAATAATAGTTTCTTGACTTAACCAATTGAAACTTTAACTACACATCTGCCAAGTCAGATTTTGCATAATAAATTATTTACATGCATTTGCAAACTAAAAATATAAAAACTTTTCTTTTGCCATTTTAATAAATGTTGTTTTGTAAATTAGAAGATATCTCGGGACTTTGTAAAACGTAATCGGTTATAAAAATCTTATAAATGCACGTCGGAATTATACATTTTCGTAAATTAAAGACAGCACCAAGAAAGAATCTATAAAAGCTACAATTATAAGAAAAAAATAAATATTTAAGGCTGTAAGTTAAACAATAGTAAAGTATAAAAGTAAAACATACACAGAAATAAACAAAATTATATTAAGGTTCACCCAGTATTCTATTCTCTATACACATTCTCACATTGCACAAATATTGCCTTTCAAACCTAACCATAAACAATTTCCGACTTAATTTCTTTGATTTATAAATCAGTGAACACCGTAGAAAACGCCTCATTTATCTTAAATATACATACATTTACAATAATAGAATTTTATTTACATTAAATATCTAGCCTAATTATAATACAGAGGAACAAAACTCCAACTAAGACACTACTGACCCCGGAATCTACTTCAAATCGGATTGGGAGCACGATTCGCTTCGAATATTTAACAAATTGTCAATCATTAGAGTCTTTTGAGCTTTTTGCGTATCACTGGCTTCGTCATGTTTCGGCGCATAGAATGCTGAAGGATCGAATGTGGGACAAGGATCGGCTCTGTCGCTGTCTCTGCTCCTCCCGAAGTAGTCTTCGGCCGCGTTCGGCTCTTCTGGCACCTCGCTGGATGACGTCACGGCGTCTTCGGACGCGTCGCGATACCGAAAGTCGAGTCGCTGGCTGGGCAGATACGGCGGGAAGCCGTAAGGCGTGGATCATGCCGCCGCTAGCTGGCGCCACATTGTATGTCACATGGTCGCCATGTACGGCCACGAGAAGGAGCTGCCTGATAGTAGCATATCCCGAATGAGAGTCTCTATGGGCGTCTTTCCTACTAGCCTTACGAAGAATAGCTGTTCTATTACTTGAGAACTGACTGTTCGAAGGGAAGGCAGTCTTAGTAGTAGTTTCCCGAATCTCGTGGGCTGGTTTGGGTACTGACTCCTACAGTACTCTTCGAGCGCGCACTGGGACTTTTCTTGTAAGCTCTCTATGTGTGGAACATCTGAGAGTCCACAGGCATCTGGAAAGAAATAAAAGCGGTTATTATTTAAATTATCAATTTATGAAATTGGGACGATGTCACTTAGAAAATACTCCCTAAGAAACCTGTATTTTGCATAACATTAAGAATAACATTCCAGAATCATAAAGGAAGGTAGATAACAATTTACAGTACATTAAATGCTGTTTATTCGTACTTTAAAACGTTATGGTCGTAGAAATAGGAATAATATAGAAAGGCATGAAACGAGATATATCTATGTCTAACAATCGTTTTTATATTATATTAATTTGTCGTAATTATACCATTTTAAAATCTTTTTTTTAATAAAAACGAGAAGATGCAATGCATAACGGATATTTCAAATAATTTTTTCAATCCTTATTTTACACAGATTATGATTTTTTTAAAAGCCATTGTGTAATATGCTACAATTACAATTACAGAGTAAAATAAAAAAAAACTAACACCTATTTGATATGTAATTTTTGACAATATAGAATTAAAGTGGCTTTTTTATTATTATTACGTCATAGACAATGTAATGAGCTCATAAAGTATAGAAATGTGTTGTTGTTGTAGCGTTAGTTTAATGAGTAATTAGCAGCTATGTGCTAAGTAAACAACGTGTACCAATAACGCCTCCAACATCGTAAATAATGTAACTTATGTAATTCACATAAATTTGCTAGTAGTTTATGACAGACACCTTCAGCGTCTTTAGTAAGATGTTCATTGACTTTAGTGGGTATGAGAAATCATAATAATCTTTGTCATACATTTCAGTAATAGAAACCGCTACCACCTCTGTCAATTGATTATAATGAATAAAATCCAGAGTGAACAGCGTCTTGGTTGAAGGAAAAAGTTATGACTTTGCAACCTTAGGGAGTGGACGGGTATTCCGACTGCGGAAGAGTTGCTGCATCTGGCACAGAACAAGACACTTCAAGAGACTGACGGCTAACCTCCAGTAACGGGGAGGTACTAAAAGAAGGAGTAATAGAAAACTGTCTGGTTTAAGTATATAATAGGAATTTATAGCCAAACTAGGTTATTATAATATTTCATTTAACTTAATACAAGTATAATTTTCACAACATGTTTGTTCAAAGCTGATTTCGATAAGTCAGAACTATAGTGTTTTTTATGTTTAAAAAAGCTTGCCAAATTTCCTTCAAATATTTAAATTAGATTACAAAACAAAATGGCAATAACATTAATGCATTCAACTATTCAATCTCTCAAGGAAATGTTATTCAACATTAATCCTTTCCGTTATTCAGCCCCCGAAATAAAAACGTATAAAGATAATAACCCGTGAACGGTCGCAGGCCGTCTTAATGCGATTAGGACCCCAGCTCGGTACATTTGGCCGACAGTACTGTACATTAATATTTTTTATTGTTATACAGAAGGAAGAAATGACGCGGTAAACAAAAGGGTCATTATGATACCGAGCAGATGTCTGCTGAAGTTGATGAGTATTGCGTGGAATGTGAATGTGATATGCGACCGTTTAACCGTCCAACTTTGGCAAAGTTGGTCCAGCTCTGGGATTGTTCGATTCTCTACGTTTTAGGTTTCACGGTAAACGCTGCACTTATTTGCCTCTAGAGAAAATCATGAATGGTGTTTTTAAATTTCCAGCCAAACAGCTACGGGACTTCACATACAGTCTTGGCTGATTGTCATCTGTTTTTGTCTTTGACATGTAATATTAGAAAAGATTTTAAAAAGTATTAATAAAGACCATATAATTTAAGGTCCTTTTAAAGTATTTTTTTGGACATGTAACACGCAGAGATCCAGAAAGTCTAGAAAAACTCATCGTGACTGGCGGAGTGGAGGGCACCAAACCTCGAGGCCGATCCCCTACTCGCTGGACCGATTAAGTTAAGGACTTTACGGGTCTTACCATCACTCAGACGCAGAGGCTTGCCGAAGACAGGGGAGGAAGTTGTGCGACGCCACTAACACGACCTTTAGAAATGAAGAGTGCGACTGACGAAGAAGAAGATAGGCCTTAGTATGACACAGATGCTAAGGCTTAAAACAGAGGGGAATATATGAAATTATCCAACCCCAAAGACTTCAGAAATGAAGAACGATTTAAAGAAAGAATAAGGATTTATCGAAGATTTAGACAAAACAAAGCTGTTAGACCCAAAACAAAAAGTAATAGATTTCATTAAACTTGATTAACGTGATAGTGTTTGTTGAATAATTGCTGTTTGAGAATTAAAATTAATGTTGTTCGTGCACGCGTAACAAAGTGACCACTTTAAAAATTATAACTGACGGTTTAGTGACAGAGGTGTTATTAAAAAATTAACCCACTTGTAGACAAGCGTTTTCGACACAAGTATTAATTGCGATACTAGAACAACTAGCTTCTTAATGTCTAGACATTAAGAAGCTAGTTGTTACAGATAGTTGTTACAGAGATGGTACAGTTACACTAGCTACGAGTATTTATACAATAGATACATATATTGCGTAAGTAATACAGTGATAGGATAACTTCCATATAAAACTAACATAATTGTAAAATTGCAAAAAAACGAGCCTACGAGACGCCCTAAAAGGGCCGTCAAAGGGCAGCCCATGGTCATCCATTTTAGTGGGTGCGTTGCCGGCCTTTTGGCCCCACGAGAAAATGTCTAGTGTAGCGGACTGTGGAAGACTTCCAGCCATCGAGGTGATGCGGATGAAGTTTTGCGTTAATACGGCTCGTACGGTGATGAAACAAGGCAGGAGGGATCACACCAGACAACTCTTCAGAACACTCTCTATGTGTATCTATTATATTCTTCGTCTTTGTTGAAGGTTTCTATTTACGACCCGTTTTTTAATATTAATAGGAGCAGATAGTATTGATTACTTTTTATGGCATCTAATTTATACGAGTTTTATCTCAGCCTTGTAGTTAAATTCATAATTAAAAACGTCACGTCACAATTAAGGTGTCCTAGATTTTTATAACTAGATGACCGCTATCAATTTTAATTCCTGTCCCGCCTCCTTGGTGGGTGACGTAAGGCCAATTGTACTAACTTCCATTAATTGTCCGTTCTCAGCGACAGATGTCCGTGATAAAATGTTGTAATTGATGCGTATTACGCAGTTTGAACTTACACAACCCGGCCAGGAAATACTACATTAAGAATACAATATGTATGATACCTAGTGATTACCTTATAATACGAGAAATAAAAATTTGAAAGATCGTAAGTAACTCTAATCAAAGTAACGCAATGTTAAAGTAAAATAACAAACAACTTTACGCACTGAAATTGTGAAACGAAAAATATATTTGACAGCTGAATATTGGCTGTCACTTGACAATTTGCATTGCATTTCTAACCCAGTAATTATCATTTAAGAAAGGAATGAAAAGGTGTACGATAAATAATCCTGATCTTTGGTCTCAAAGATCACAAGGAGACATCCCAATAGCAATTAACCCAGCGTTCGTCATTGTAACAATGTAATATAGTTTAATTGATACGACCCAGCGGTTGCTCGGTAAACACGGGACTCTATGACCCGTAATGAGTAAGACGGGTTGAATGGAATTATTTCATTCAATGATTGAAAACGTTACATAAGATTCAAGCATTACCAATATGATTTTTTGTTACTACTTTGCCCTACTTTTGGGCATTTTTTTAGAAGTAAAGGAAATATATCTATTACATTTAACACATTTTTGAAAGGCCAGCATTGCCTTAAGAAATCGAAGTATTATATTTATAAAGAAAAGCGGTTTTGTATTCTTACATTAAAAGTATGTTTTGTCTTAAGAAAATTTCCCGCGTAAGTGGCGTGGTCATTACAACTTATTAGTTGATTTCGAAGGTCTGATGCATAGTTTGATAATGAATCAGTTAGGTTGGGGTAACATTTTAGTGGCTTAAATAGTATTGATGGTAGTGTCAACAGATTTGACCCGGTAAATCAATGTTCCATTGCAGTAATAAACGCTCATGATGCGCGCGCGCTGGGCGCCATTACGTCCGTTACTAAGAACGTTCGCATTCTTAATTCAAACGATCAAGTACATTACTATTGAGTGATTTTCAAAAATTATTTAAATTCATTTATATATCAGCGTCTCGAGGTTTTTGTAGTTTAAAAGAAATAGAACTTTGTAGTTTTAGGATTAAGGAATTAAAAATTATCAGTATTATGTAATATTTGACGTTGATAATAATTGTTAGAATAATGAAGATAGGAATAGTTGCTTCAGCATGCGACTCTCAACCCTGAGGTCGGAGGTTTGATTCCGGCTGTGCAGCAATGTACTTTCTTTCTATGTGCGCATTTAACATTCGCTCGAACCGTGAAGGAAACCGGCTTGCCTAAGATCCAAAAAGTCGACGGCTTGTGTAGCGCCGATGTATTTTTTTATTTCTTAATAATTGATACAACTTACATATAAAATGCCTTTTCCCAGAGATTAAGCGTGTCGTATAAGTCATTAAATACTATCGAAAGGGTGATGATCGAGATCATTTGCTGCCCGCATTCGTTTAATGTTCATTTAATTTATATAAAAATAAAATACGTTTATTAAACGGTACATGCGGGTAAGTTAAAGTTATGTATAGAATCATGCATTTGGAATTATATATATTAAAAACGAAACGTAGTGTTTGATGTCCCGAGCGGTAACGCAAGTTCGGCTTTGTACATCGAGAGCAAACAACGTCAATGTCGATAGAACGTTGAGATTTTTACTACCGGGGTTAACCAACAAAAAAGTTGAAAAACTATTTTTATATGCATTTGTCGCGTTCCTTAACAAGACTGCTATGGTAAAATTTATACAAAGTGGTTTTCTTACCTAACATATCAAGATTTTATTATATTTAAATATAAAAACAATAATATAACGCAGTTCGACGTCGAACTGTGAACAAAATAATAATATTTTTACATGCACTTATTTATATGGAAATCCAGTAATTTCTGCTCTATAAAGTATGAAAACGTACGATATGATACTACTGTCCGTAGATAATAAATCATCAATCTCAACATAGATAACAACAAATAGCGTAAACAAAAGTTTACAGAGGTTTTACAAAAGCATCGTAGGCGTAGAGCAGATG